GGCCACCTCTGCTGACTGCCGGCTGCCTACAGTTCGGCAGTTCAAATCTCACCAGGCTTAAAGTTGACTCAGCCTCTCATCCTTCCGAGGTGAGTAAAATGAGGAGCCAGATTGTTGGGGGGGCAATATGTAAACCGCTTAGTGAGGGCTGTGAAGCACTATAAAGCAGTATATAAGTTTAAGGGCTATTGCTATTTGATCGGCTTCAGAAAAAGCTTCCTTAGGCTGACGGAAGTATTTGAAGAATGGAACGGAATGGAACGGAACAGAACTTTATTGTCACTTTAAATGTCACATCAATTGAAAAGCAGAGAGGACCTACGGAAAGCTATAAAGAACCAAAACTGGATGGAAGCAACAGAGCAGCTGGCACCTGGGTCTGATGGAAGCTGGGAAATATGGAAATAGTTAAAAAGACAGTGCATGGGTACCACAAGATCTGAAAAGTGGGGCTATCCAGTGGCTTCTGCTCTTTGTGTTTGTGGTGACATGTGGACCACGACACACACATGTATACCTGCCCTTTGTGCCCCAGTCTGTCTACACTTGAGGACCTCATGGCAACATGACAGAACACAATTAATGTTGCTAGTTTCTGGGCAAGATCTGTAACTTGTACATATTTTAATCTTGTGTATTTAACATTTCGTGTCACATAGTATGCCTTATTTTAATTGTGGTGCTTCTGACATGAATAAAGAAGCAAACCAGCTGATGTCCTTTCCCCGCTTCCCTATTCCTCCATTACAGGTAGTCTTCAATTTACAACCAGAATGGAGCCCAACATTTCTGTGGTTAAGTGAAACGTTTGCTCAGCGAGTTTTGCCTCATTGTACTTTCTTGCCGCTGCTGTTAAGTGAATCACCGTAGTAGATACATCGGTAAACCAATTGTTAAGTGAAAATCCGGCTTCCTCATTGACTTTACTGGTCAGAAGGTCGCAAAAGGGAATCACATGATCTTGGGACACTGCAACCATCATAAATACGAACCACTCGCTGAGCATCTGAATTTTGATCATGTGACCACGGGGATGCTGCAAAGGTCGTAACACTGAAAAATGGTCCTAAGTCACCTTTTTTCAGTGCCCTTGTGACTCTGAATGGTCTGTCAGGGCTCCGGCAGTTACCCCAATTAAATAATTGGTCTCGAGCCAAACTTCCAAAACTTCAAAAGGATTTGAGACACACAATTCATTGGTCACCCTTGACCCTGGTTTTCCCCTACCCCCTGGGTGTATCATAATTCATATTCTCCAATGGGACACTTCCATAGCCCAGAGTCATCAGTCATGTTCTCCAGTTAGAATTTTGCGCAGCAGAAACTTTGGTCACCTAGGTACTATCTATGAAGACATTTATGGAATGCACTTTCGGTTTTGTAAGCTGCCGCACTGCTTCCCCCACTCCTTTTCTGTTGGCAACTCTAAAAAGACCAGAGAAATATTTTATGAGTTGACACAGCCACTAAGTGACTGTTGTAAGTCGAGGGCTGCCGGTATTTCCTGAAACCATCTGCCCCATAGACCGTTTCCTAACTAGTCCTCCTTCTCTAGGTGTTCCCTGTTGAGTCAAACGCACCTACCAAGCATTCCATCAACAGGCGCTTTCTCCTAGATCTGTCCGCTCGTGTGCCCGGCCACGTGCCCCTAGCGATACCTTTCCTCCCTCTTTCCTGGGGGAAAAAAAAAAAAGCCAACAGGAGCGTCGACTGTAATATCACGCGGCCTGTTTTGCGTTCCAATTTTTCTGTTCGACTGTAGAGCCGAGGCCAAGATAGCGGGGTATGTAATGGACACCCTCCGTCAGCTGTTTTCCTCCTCGCCGGCAGACAAGAGGCCGATTCATAAGGCTCCTTTTTATCCTTGGGAGGGTGAATAAGTAATTATTCAATATCGAGAAGAGCGGCTATTTGGAAGCCTCTATTGAATGTGGCAGGATAGACATAATGAAACCTGCCATTTCTGGCGACCCGAGAGAGGAATGTAACAATTCTAGCGTGGCTGGTAACTTTATCCAGATGGACGTTTCTTTGGCACGTCAACCGGCCTTTTCTCCCGCTGACTGGCAGCTCCTGAAGGGGTTGCATTGACGTGCCTTCTATCCTGCATTGTCATTTTTTTAACGGCAGACAAGCTCCAGTGGGAGCGGACCGTAATTTGAACCCGTTTTTCTATAGAGCCAAGGCGAAGAGATAGTTGATCCTGACTATTGTAGCATAACGTGCCCGGTGACTTAGCATTTGCTTACCGGGGCGGGGGGGGGGGGGGATAATCTTACTGATTGCAATTAAGAGGATGGGCGGGTGTGTGTGTTGAATTTGGACAGGAATATTTATTTATTTATTTTTATTTATTTTGTCAAGTGATTATAAGATAACAGGTATAAGTATAAACATAGTTATGACTACATGAAATGGATCCATATAAGAAAAATAAAAAATAAAAGAAACAATAGGACAGGGACGGTAGGCACGTTGGTGCGCTTATGCACGCCCCCCTACAGACCTCTTAGGAAAAGGGTGAGGTCAATAGTAGACAGTCTAAGGTTAAAGTTTTGGGGGTTTGGGGAAGAAACCACAAAGTCAGGCAGAGTATTCCAGACATTGACCACTCTGTTGCTGAAGTCGTATTTCCTGCAATCAAGTTTGGTGCGGTTTACCTTGAGTTTGTATCTATTGTTTGCTCTTGTATTGTTATGGTTGAAGCTGAAGTATTCATTGACAGGTAGGACATTGCAATATATAATTTTATATACTATACTTAGATCGGACGGAAGGCGGCGTAGTTCTAGGTTTTCTAGGTCTAGAATTTCAAGTCTGGTGGCATAAGGTATTCTGCAACGAGTAGAGGAGTGAATACTGTGTGTCTGCTTCTCTGTGTCAGTGTGACACTCAGACATGGAGCCTTAGTGGACAACCAGCTAAATATAAGCCAGCAGTGTGCAATAGCCGCCAAAAAAGCCAACACAATCCTAAGTTGCATTAACAGAGAGATACAATTGAGATCAAGCAAGGTACTAATGCCACTCTATAAAGCCTTAGTAAGACTTAGTAACACCAAGAATACTGCATCCAGTTTTGGTCACCGCACTATAAAAAAGATGTTGAGACTTTAGAAAAAGTACAGAGAAGAACAACCAGGATGATTAGGGGACTGGAGACTAAAACATGAAGAATGGTTACAGGAACTGGGCGTGGCTAGTCTAGGGAAGAGAAGGAGTCTAGGGAAGAGAAGGACCAGGGGAGACATGAGAGCAGTCTTCCAATATTTGAGGGGCTGCCACAGAGAGGAGAAGGGGGTCAAGCTATTTTCTAAAGCACCCGAAGGCCAGACATGGAATAGTGCATGGAAACTGAACAAGAAGAGATTTAACCTGGAAACAAGGAGAAACTTTCTGGCTGTGAGAACAATCAACCCATGGAACAGAAGTTGCCTTCAGAAGTTGTGGGAGCTTCATCACTTGAGACTTTCAAGAAGAGATTAGACTGCCATTTGTCAGAAATGGTATAGAGTGTCCCGCTTGGGCGGGGGCTTGGACTAGATGACCTACAAGGTCCCTTCCAACTCTGATGATCTGTTATCTTTTTTTTTTTTAATGCCAGGAAGATGATGTCGGCTCCCTGTCATTGTCACTGTTGTTCTTGGCCTTCTAAAGATCACAGATCAGAGTGAATGTGACCTGGTTCTAAATGTTCATAAAAGAGATCACTGGAGATTTTAGAAAGAGCTGGCATGGTCATACTCTGCTCAGTATCAAGGATGCAGCTGTAGAGGTGGTCAACAGTATTAAGTATCTGGGGGTACAGATAACTAACTGTGAAGTGGTATAGAAAAATGCTGAATGTGTTAAACCGCTTCGCAGTGCTTTACTGCGCTCTCTCAAGCGGTTTACAGAGTCAGGCCTCTTGCCCCCAACAATTTGGGTCCTCATTTTAACCCACCTTGGAAGGATGGAAGGCTGAGTCAACCTTGAGACTGGTGGGATTTGAACTGCCAAATTGCAGTCAGTCAGCAGAAGTAACCTGCAGTACTGCATTCTAACCACTGTGCCATCCCTGTGTCAGGGCTCCGACAATCCACCCCCATTCAAAACTTAAGTCTCTAGCCACATCTCTCAGAGTAAAAAAAAAAAAAAGATTTATTAGGAGTGACCATGTCGGCGTTACCTGGGTGCAGCTGACACTAAGACACATCGTTCATCTCACCCTTGACCCTGGTCTTCCCCCACTCCCTGGATGTATATTCTCCAATGGGACACATCCATAGTCAAGAGTCATCAATCATGCTCTCCAGAAATAATCTTGCACACCAGAAGCTTTACTTTGAAATAATCTGTTAGGAATATAAGTCACCTAACAGGTATTTGGGTTAGAAATATATAAACCAGGATAGACATTTTAAAACTGTATCTTTAAGAAAATGCAAAACTGTAATTAGGTGTGGTTTCTCAAATGGCCATAAGATGGAGCCAGAAACCTGGTTAGTCTGAGTCTCAGAAGAGAGTGTAAGTGTATCTCTGTTTCCTTCTGTTGGAAAGTATTGCCGTTCCTCCATTTCTTCTAGTTGACTGATATTACTGGATTTAATGTAAATCTGTTACTGAACTGTTTTTTTGACACTGGACTTTGATATTTGGATTATCCCTGGATTGAAAACTGACTGATTTAACTTGTGAATGATTTTGGATTGCTTGTTTGGACTTTGCTTAACGTTTCTGGAAGTAAAAACCTACATTTACTGTACAGTGTATCTGTGTGCTGTGTGTGTATTATTCAAACACTCCTCTCAAATATGTCTCCCTGTATGCGCTCATTCTCCTAACGGGGAATTACCTCAACAGAATCTACACATGGTCTTGTAAACTTTACTCATGTCAATATGTTTATAAAGAACTTAATGATCCTGCTGAATCGGTCATCTGTGTGTTTTCTGGATTTGAATTTCTGCCGCAAACTCTAACAATACCTTTAATGGGATGTTGTTTTTCCCTAATTTGCAGCCTTCCAGTCCCTGCATGACGTGTTCCTGCTCCGCCATCGAGCAAAACGCCCCAAAGGCTGCTGAGGCCAAGAAGGAGAATGGAGGGAAGTCCCCCATCCCCAAAATATTTTTTGGCACCCGAACTCACAAGCAAATAGCTCAGATTGTGAAGGAGCTGCACAGGACGGGCTACTCAAGCGTCCGCATGACCATTCTGTCAAGTAGGGAGCATTCCTGCGTCCATCCGAGGATCTCCCGAGGCAGCAACAAGAATGAAAAATGCGCTGAGTTGCTGGAAGGAAAAGAGGTGAGTGGTTTCAGGACAGTAGAACTGGAAGGGATCTCGGAGGTCTTCTAGTCCAACCCCCTGCTGAAGCAGGAGACTCTATACAGGTAGTTCCGGTCCTGGTATCACGTGATCCCCTTTTGTGACCTTCTGACAGGCAAAGTCAAATGGGGAAGCTGCATTCACTTAATAACGGTCTTACTAATATAACGACTGCCGTGATTCGCTCGACCACTGTGGTAAGAAAAGTCCTAACACGAGGCAAAACTCACCTAACAAATTTCTCCCTTGTCAACGTATATTGTGGGTTCAGTTGTGCTTGTGAGTTAAGGACTGTCTGTAGTCCCTTTTTTTTCCAGTGCCGTTGTCAAGTCTCCGGCCTCCATCCCCATTCGAATCATGAGTCTAGCCGCATGTCAGCCTTCAAGATCTTCTACCTTTGCTTCGCATCTTTCGGCTGCCATAAGTAACGGGGGGAGGAGGAGGGACAAGTATGGGAAGCGAGCTGGAGGTGGTACACGCTGGCATTGTATAAATTGAGGAGGAGGGAGTGTACATTCTTGCTCAGTTTTCTATTTCTTGCTTAGCTTTCTTTTCTCCGCGCAGCTGCAAACTTTTATCAAAGTATGCCGAGGTCAACGGACAGAGGCCTCATCGCCACCCGAAGTTGTCCACATGACCATATTCACAACTTTTAATTGGAAGAATCATTTGAACTATTGGGGGTGGGATCATTTCCATCACTTTGTATATGTGATTTACGCACCTAATTCTTCAGATTCAGAATTCTATTGTAGCTACCACTTCATTTCCAGTAAAAGATATCTTTTCTCTAACTAAAAGAGTCTAAGTATTTCTTTCTTGGAATTTAAATGGAGCACAGTCTGACACCACATCTCTCAGAGTTACAACCCCACTCAAGATTTATTAGGAGTGAACATGCCGGCGCTACCTGGGAGCAGCCGACCCTGAGACACATCATTCATTTCCTCCTTGACCCTGGTTTTCCTCCCCATCCTCCAGATGTATATTCTCCAATGGGACACATCCATAGCCAAAAGTCATCAATCATGCTCTCCAGTAATAATCTTGCGCGCCAACAGCTTTGGCCGCCTAGCAATTATTTATGAAAGCATTTAAGGAATGCGCTACCTTCCTGCTGTCAACTCTAAAAGACCAGAGAAATTTTTTTTTTTTTTTTGAGTTGACAGCCGTTCTAACTTCATACGGTCACTAAAGGAACGGTTGCGACTTGAGGACGACTTGTACATGAAGATGCGTGGTTGTTCTTTAAACTTCCTCAATTGTCTGCTTTCAGGGCGTGTCTTGTTCCTTTTATCATGGAGCCCACAGGCTTACGGAGCATCTCTCCATACCGTCTGCAGATAAAAAACATCAGACTTGGGATTTAGAAGAGCTGGTGAGCTTGGGAAAGAAATTCCGATCCTGCGCCTACTTTGCAGCACGTGAGCTCATGGTGTGCGCCGAGATTGTGTTCTGCCCTTACAACTACCTGTTGGACTCCCAGATAAGACAAAGTGTGAGTACGAATACCTTCTATTGCAGGGGTTCCCCAAAACAGGGGGTGCTTGCGAGATAATATTCCAAGGGGTGCCAAAACTTGGGTTTAGAAGTTTCAAAATTATAGAGTATATGTATAATTATATGTTGCAAACTATCCTAAAAATACAGGTTCCAGGTGTAGCTATAAAAGAAGAGACAGACCTCATGATCTCTGGAACTTAAATATATATTATCCACTTAGCTTTCCTTAGCCTCTGCTAACATCCTCAGGGTGTTAAAAACTACTTAGAAAACCTAGAACTACGCCGCCTTCGGTCCGATCTAAGTATAGTACATAAAATTGTATATTGCAGCGTCCTACCTGTCAATGAATACTTCAGCTTCAACCATAACAACACAAAAGCACACAATAGATACAAACTCAAGGTAAACCGCCCCAAACTTGATTGCAGGAAGTACGACTTCAGCAACAGAGTGGTCAATGTCTGGAATACTCTACCTGACTCTGTGGTTTCTTCCCCAAACCCCCAAAACTTTAATCTTAGATTGCCTACCATTGACCTCACCCCTTTCCAAAGAGGTCTGTAGGGGGCGTGCATAAGCGCACCAATGTTCCTACCCTCCCTGTCCTATTGAAACTTTTTATTTTTCTTATATGTATCCATTTCATGTATTCATAACTATGTTTATACTTATACCTGTTATCTTATAATCGCTTGACAAATCAATTTAGCCATGTCTGAAGTAAAAACGATAGAGCTAATCACAGGTTGGAGGCGGGTGGATGGGCCTATTACACGCACAATGGCCAAATTGATCGATGATGCATAAAAGCAAACAGCTCTTCAATGGTAGTTTTTACATTCTGAGTTTCAGGATTCTGGCAGTTACCCCAATTAAATCATGAGTCTCGAGCCAAACTTCTAAAACTTCAAAAGGATTTATTGGAAGTTAACATGTCCGGCACTGCCTGGGTGTAACCAACTCTGAGACACATTGTCACCCTTGACCCTGGTTTTCTCCCACCCCCTGGGTGTATCACAATTCATATTCTCCAATGGGACACATTCATAGCCAAGAGACATCAATCATGCTCTCCAGTTAGATATTTGCATGGCAGAAACTTCAGTCACCTAGTTACTATCTTTGAAAAACTATTTATGGAATGCACTTTTGATTTCCAAGCTGCTGCACTGCTATTTCAAACACACACACACACACACACACACACACACACACACCGTTTCTGGTGGCAACTCTAAAAAGACCATAGAAATACTTCATGAGTTGACACTGATGATTTTAGCAGAGGCTAACAAAAGTTAAGTGGATCATATAGTTTTAAGTTCCGGAGATCATGATGTCTATCTCTTCTTTTATAATTATATGTACATAATTATTTTTTAAGGGGTACTTTTAGGGATACACCCTAGCAGAATCTGCATGGCAGTCAGGCAGGCAGGCAAAATATGTGAGATAAACGTTTTTGTAGCTTACACTCAGTAAAACAGATACACTGTGCTAGTTAAATAGTTTATTCCAGTAAGAGTTTTAGCATAGTCAAAACAGTCCATATATCATTCACTAGTTCAGTCCGTCCGGGGATTATTCAGTTGCAAAGTCCAGTGTTGAAAAAGAGGTCAGTAAACTTACAAATATCAGTCCAGTAATATATCTCCTCACAGTAGAGATATGAAGAAGTCAAACCTCCTTTCTTCCTTCAGCACCAGGGAACACGCAGTTAGCAAACCATCAATCAGCAAACCATCTATCGTCAGCAAGCCAGCAGGTTCTCTTGCTCCCTCTTATGGCGGTTCACAACCGCACCCAAAATTACATGCTTTGCAGTTTAAAGTGACACACACTTAAACTTACTATCATAGTTTATATATATTATTTTACCCAAACTACATTAGGTAACCTTGTTATTCCTAACAGGTACAAGAATATATCAGAGACATTCTAGGGGTGCGGGCTATAGAAAAGGTTGGGATCCCATATTCTATTGATTATCGGACAATGTCAGAAAACTTGGATAAACGTGTTCCTGTGGTCGCAAGAAAGAACTGTGTGCCCCGCACAGCTGCGTAAAACCACGGAAGGTAGAACTAACACAATGCTTATAAGGACTCATTGCAAGAGTCACTTCCAGCCTTAGAACGTAAAATACAGGGAGTCCTTGACTTACGACCACAATAGAAGCCAAAATTACTATTGGGTAAGTGAGATATTTGTTAAGTCAGTTTTGCCCCGTTTTACGACCTTTCTTGCCACGGTTGTTAAGTGAATCACTGCCGTTGTTAAGTTAGTAACACGGTTGTTAAGTGAATCTGGCTTCCCCATTGACTTTGTTCATCAGAAGGTGGCAAAAGGTATCTGGAGGAGGCAGCTGCTTTTGCTTATTGATAAGCTGATGGATCTCAACCTTTTGCAGATGGAAATTGAGTTGAAAGACCAGGTGCTGATTTTAGATGAAGCTCACAATATCGAGGACTGTGCCCGAGAGTCGGCCAGCTACAGTGTGACGGAAGAACAGCTCAAGTTGGCTCGAGAGGAGCTGGACGCTATGGTGAACAACCACATTAGACCGAACGACCACCAGCCTTTGCGTGCTGTGTGCTACAGTCTGACAAAGTAAGTGACGGCCACTGAGCAGCAGTGTAGCGAAAATGGGCTTCTGGGCTTTGAGGCAGAAATGGATCGTGTTACTGGTGGTCATCTAAACTTAATTTGGAAATATCTAGTCGCCTTAGGCGGGAAAGCAGGCTGGGTGACCTTTGGCCAATCACCTGGAGACTGTGAATTCTAGTCTCGCCTTGGGCATGAAAGCCTTCTGTGTGACTTTGGGCCAATCTCTCTTGGTGGAGATAGTGAGTTCTAGTCGCACCTTAAGCCATCAAAACCAACTGGGTGGCTTTGGGCCAGTCACCAGGATATGGTGAGTTCTAGCCCGGCCTTGGCATGAAA